ATAACAAAAAGGAAAATGGAAATTTAGTAACAGTAGAGCTCCATGTAAAAGAGTTCACCCAGAACCATTGACTTACAAATAAATGGACGACGGGTCTAATACAAAAACCACGAAAAAAATGTCCCAAGTCAACCTATTCAAACGTAGTGACATGTAAAGGAATATGAAAAGGCTAAAACGTTGAATTTAAATAGTAATGTCATCGCAGTACTGTCTAATTTAGCTTGCTTCGCTGTCAGTCGAACAAACGAAGACTAAAGCGTGAATGACGCTCTGTATACGATTTTAACGCACTATAAGTTCGGACACTTTTTAGCGCGGACTCGACGTCGATATAATTGTAAGTCAATGCCCAGAACGTACTGCGCCACCTTACCTATTTCCGCCTGTAGTAGTAGTAATGTGATCATTACTGTGTTTCGGTTTTAAAGGGTGCTGGTGAAATTATAGGTACATGAGATTTGTCAATTTATGTCTCAGGGCGACGGGCGCAGAAGCAGTGCCCCTCAGATCTTTGCTATTTAAAACAATGAGTGTCACAGCAACCGCACTACAAGCATAGTCGCCGAGCACACAATATCCATTTTTGTAACTAATTTGTTTTACATTGACAAGCTGCAATTTATCAAAGCTAGTCTAATTTGTAGTGGTAACAAATAAATCAACTAGATGGCGCTTGTTGCACAGGTTTTCATGTATAGTGCCGGCTACGCTTTTATTTTGTTTAGGATTAGCACCATCTACATATATTAGGAAGTGTTAATTTATAAATTAGTCTGTAACACACAATGCCATCTATTGTCACGCATATTTGTCAAAGTTTAGAAAACAATTTTAGCTCATGATCATATGATCATGATGTTTCAATAACACTACGGAAAAAAACAGACTTCTTATATTTCGCATGAAAGAGGAATTAATGGATATCCACGGCCATTTACATAATATAAACCCCTTCCAGGTTATTAATCAGCGCCATCTAGATCCAAGACGGAATTTTGACCCTTTTCAGAGTTATGATCTATAATATGGAGATTAAAGGTAGGCGTCCACAGATCCGCAGCAATCGGATTGTCTACGCAACTACTAGCTATCGGATTGCCAACGCCACTTTTTGTAGCGAGCGAACGAGTGTAACTTGTGTGTTACACTCACAATTTCTCGTGGTGGTTTGTTAGTTGGCAAAAGAAGAAAGAAGAGAAAAATGGAAACATGATATCTGGATACATGACATACTTAAGAAGAGATCGCAACATGGAGAATATCATACGCTATTCCCTGATTTGCTAAACGACGAATTCTTCCAGTGTTTCCGAATGTCTCATGCTAAATTTACTACTCTTCTTAACAAATAGTAAATGACGGCCGGTACGGCGCGTCGGTGCGCGCACGGGTTGCGTCCACTAATACGCAATCCGTATGACGTCGTCGGCAGGCATCGGAAAAGTTGCCTTTCCGACCAACTGCGTCGGCATTACCGACAGGCTGCGGATCTGTGGACGCCTACCTTAACAGTCCTCTTGTGTTATGGGTTAATGCTATTGTTAAGGAAATAAATAAAAGCTATAAGACTTTGACGATGATCCCTTTCTATGACAAGCAACCCTTCTCCTCGTCCCTTGAATACTACCTTGCTTGCCATTGCAAAAAAAAAACAATGAATCAGGGTACATTTCCTGAGTACTGAAATGGTCCAACTATGTTGTGGAACATAAAAGTATAATGGATAACTTTTTCATTGAAAATAAAGCCGACCTCGAAAGTTTGCTTATCGGCTTTTTTCGATTTCCATGGGTTCCACTATAGATTCTAAATTCCTGGTGACAATGGGACTGTTACGGACTCGTTTGTACATTTTATACTTTTTTCTGGTTGTCATGGTGACGGTTATTTGTTGATTAAATGTATTGTGTCAAGTGAAAAGTCGACTTTTATTTGCGGAAAATATTTTTTTAATTTGTGATAGCCGAAACGAACCCGGAACAGCATCGTCGGCATCAGGAACCAGAATTTTCAAAATCGGTCCACAATTGATAAGAGAAATCGGTATGCTATAAAATATGAGGATTTTCTTCGATTTTCATGGATCCCCTTATCACATTCTGACCTAGTGACAATGGGACCACCACGAAAGTGTACCCTTTCAAACAAAAAAAATTCAAAATCGGTCTACATCGAAAACATTCAGACAGCCGAACGTATAACCTCCTCCTTTTTTTCGAAGTCGATTAATAAATGAACAATATATAGTAAAAATTACAAAAAATCGTTTTCCATGCATTTATGTATCACAATAAGGACGGATTTGTATGGACAGTCATAATTTTTTACAATTGATATATGTTGCTCCCCAATATTTCCTACACAAAAATAAAGCCAAGTTCACACTTCAAGACAAGGAAATATTACACCCATAAATCCTTTACGATATCCATACTCAATCCAATAAAGTATCTAATACAGATAACAAGCGCTGCTGACCAAGGGTCGTAAATTTCTTTTTTTTTCTCTTTTTTTCATAAATCAGAAGGGACACAAGTTTTACTGGTGGCTATTACACTTTTAGTAGTTTCCAAGATTTGGTTAACCTTTTTTGCGGTTGACATTGTAAGGGCTGTTTTCTACCTGAAAAGTTTTTGTATTCGCATAAATGTTACTTAGATTTGGGCCCTCCCGATGAAATTTGGAGACAAATTGTTTTCTTCGCGCAATACGAACATCACTGTTAAAAGTCAGTACTAACGTAAGTATTTTACGGTCCAACAGTAACATACCTGTCTGGGGCAATTGTCTATTCTTTGTGAAAGAGTTCGTCCAGAGAAGTAATGCCACCTTATCAGTTTCTGCTGTGAAGCAGTAATAAGTGCAGGTGAAATTATAGGCATGTGGGACTTGTCAACTTATGTCTTCACCTTTCCTATTTCTGCCGCAAAGCAGTAATTAATGTCTTATATCTCAGGGCGACGAGCACAGTGGCATTACCCCTCAGATCTTTGCGATTAATAGGCCTGTCGCTTACCACCTAGCACACGATACTTGGAATCATAAAAAAAGTCTATTGAAATATTTGTTTTTAATTAAAGTACCAATCTAGTCGATTTGTACATTAAATTGTTATTCGCAGATTAGCTTTCACTGCCTCCGTGGCCGAACGGTTATGGAGATGAAGTTTTATTTGAAATGAAATGTCAGTAGCAAACAATTTTGACAATTTCACACGTTGCCTGATGTCGAAAAGAACGATATAATTGTTGGGGCCGATTCTAGTTTGTCTATGAATTAAAAATAAAAACTATGGTTGTGTGATATGCGTGAGAAAAGTTTTTATTTGCCGCTATTTCACCAGTCGTAACGTGCGGTTCCTGAACACATCATATAGAGCTTATAATATGTGTGTAGAAAAGCAGTGTATGTAATTGTACATAATTGGGCATTAAAACACTCGTGAGATGTATTTATGAAACTCGCCTGGAAACCTCAATTGTATTTTAAAGCCACACATAAACTACTATGAAATGATTTCTAACTTACAATCCATTAACCCATATATGCCCATTGGGTCGATTTTGTCCTGTAAAACAGGTTTTAAAAAACGCGTGAGTATGTTCACGAAAACGCTTTTTTTGCACCACCTAGAGCCATCTATCGAATAATAAATGTATTATCTTCCAAAACAAATAGGTAATTTAGTTCAATAGTCAATTTTGTAATCTGTGGGGTAAGTTCAAGACATAACTCGTTTAGTGGTGCTAAAAAAGTGTGTTCTTGCTGAGAAAAATGTAAGTATATTTTTTTTATTTAAAAATGTACGTGTTATGTTGTTTTTATTACAAAATGGGATAGTTTACCTATCTTATAATATTGAAAACTTATGAAAATAGATATTTTTTAAGACTTAGATCGTTGTCACAACTTTTATGGGTCGTTAACGACCCTGTGGGAAGATATATATTTAATTGCTGTTTTTTATTTTTAGGTCTCGAAAATTGCTTACGACGAATGAGATAATAGACGAGCTAGAAAATTTAGACTCCGATGATGAGACACGAGGTGTTGATATTTTTATTGAGCCGCCAGGTAGTGGTAGGGTATCTGACGGTGATTCTGGCGATGAAGAAGATGTATATTTTCATCACTTATCTCGTCGACAGCTACTCGCACCTGCAAGTATTATTTTGAGACGTCCTTTAGCTGAGGATACCACTTCCAGCGAGGATGAGGAACTAGAAGATATCGCACCATCGTCTCTGGTGGTAAAAGCGGGTGGAAGGGCCCGTAGAATGGCCTGTGAAACGTCCCGTGGAATGGCCCAAGGAACGGCTCGAGGAACGGTTCGAGAAACAGCCCGTACAAGAGCCCGTGGAAGGTCCCGCGGTAGCAACCGCAAACGAGGGCGTGGCAGGTGGCGAGAAACGAATACTGAACACCAAGCGGGTGGGCGCACCTGGGTGAAAAAAGATCTTCCCCCGCTCAATCGTGAGTGGAACATACCGCTACCTAGGTCTGTAACAATTTTATGCGAAAATACTGACCCAGTCACGTTTTTTGAAATGTTTTTCAATCGAGACGTTATTGTATATTTAGTCAGACAAACAGTAATATATGCTGTTCAATCAGGAAATACAAAATTTTCTTTATCTGACAGAGAAATGTACTGCTTTATTGGTATTCTTATTTTGTCCGGTTATGCTCCGTTGCCGCGACGCCGCATGTACTGGGAGAGTAATAAAGATACTCACAATATTCTTGTCGCAAACAGTATGCGTCGAAATCGATTCGAAGAAATAATGCGTTATTTCCATGTAGCCAATAACTCAGAACTATCTGAAAATGACAAGATGGCAAAAGTACGCCCGCTTATTGATATGCTAAATGCTAAATTTCTACAGTATGCTCCTATTGAAAAAGAAATAAGTATTGATGAATCCATGGTTCCGTATTACGGTAGACATGGTTGTAAACAACATATCAGAGGGAAACCAATAAGGTTTGGGTTCAAAATGTGGATTGCTGCGACGAGATTGGGTTACTGTCTGATTGCTGATCCTTACCAAGGGCGCTCAGAGCGTGTCGATACAGGACTGGGACGTTATGTTATCAAGAAACTAATAACTAAAGTACAAGAGGAGTATCCCGACACAGTTTTCTCTGTCTACTGCGACAATTTTTTTACTGGACTGCCATTGGTTAGCGAGCTCAAAGAAAAAAACGTGTTCTTAACAGGGACGGTGCGGAATAACCGAATTGAAAACTGCCCACTAAAGGACATGAAAAAATGCCAAAAAGAAGAAAGAGGGTACTACGATTACCAATTGGATGAAACAAACGGGATATGCGCTGTTAGGTGGCACGATAATAGTGTTGTAACACTATTGTCTAGTGAACATGGGGTACATCCCATACAAAAGGCGAAAAGGTACTCAGCTGCCCTAAAATCAAGAATCGATATTCCGCAACCATACCTGATTTCTCAATACAATCAATATATGGGAGGTGTGGATCGACTGGACGCCAACGTGGGCGTCTATAGGATTGCAATGAGAGGCAAGAAGTGGTATACACCTATTATTTTTTGGCTTATTGACGTCGCGGTAAATAATGCCACACTTCTAGCTCGCCAGTACCGGAGTGACATCGACACTCTTGAGTTTCGAAGGAGCATTACCCGCGTATGGCTGCAGAACTATGGAAATGAAAAGCTTCAACCCGGACCCACACGAAAGATACAAACCACTGTACCTTATTCGGTGCGGAAACACAATTCGGAGCACATGATCGAAAAGGCTGTGAAGAGACTTCGATGTGCTTTCTGTAAAAATAAAACAGTTACAGCGTGTACTAAATGTGGCGTCAATTTGCATGCAAAATGTTTCTCTCTCTTTCACTCTTAAGTTTTGTTAGTAAATAAAAAGTTGATTTACAATAATAGCATTTTATTCGGCATTAACATATTAGATCCAGGTAACAAAGACAATGACATGAGCTATATAATACTTGACTATATATTTGACCCAGGGGTCGTTATCGACCCATTAAAAAAAAAGGATCCCCCCACCACCCACCTCATATATTCTTTTGGATTCATCATAAGAACCCTTCAGGTACTCACATATCCAAAAATGAAAGAAATCGGAGACCAAAAATAGTTCTGGGCATATATGGGTTAAAGAACATAACTGTAGAAAAGAAAACAAAATAAATTTATATGACAATCAATACTATAAAATAAAACAAAATACAAAATAATAATATTGTACGAAATATGTTGAAATATTTCTATGATTCAAGTACGAAAGAACTATGAAGCGCATTTTCTTCGCTGATATTCTACTTTAGCCCTCAAATGGCTGTGGTTGATTGCGCATAAAGGTGAAAGTGTTGATGCAATTACTTTGGAAAAAATATATAGTACAATTGAGGATATACACTGATTACAATACGGTGTAAAAAGACGATTCCTAAACATTTTCAGGATACAAAAAAAAACACACAAACTTACCTCGCAATTTTACAAGAAAACTACTGTATTCAACAAGTACTTGACATATATAATAATAATAGAGCGCAAACTTGGTAAAGGGCTTAGATTTTATATATATTATACAAATAGGTGCTATACTTAATTTTCTTTCTAACCTATACGTACATTAGTGTCCATATCACTACTTCATAAGCTAAGAGTTACGAGCAAAGCAAGTTTGGCGATAGGAAGTGAATGGGCTATAAATAATACTTGGTTTACGGCCGTTTTTATTGTTATTGGATCGAGAGCTCACGGTAGCGTGGATTGTTTTTTTTTGGCAATTATTGGGGGCCCCCAATAGGGGGTTACGAAAAAATAATTTTCATAATCTGGCTTGAATTTTTAAAGCTGATGAAAATTTCGATGCAATTTGCCTGATAACCTGAAAGACGTTTCGTTAAATGGAAATTGTATTTTCATCTACTATGAAGTCCTCTTATTTTATTCTTTTTTGTGCTTTGTTTCCTTTGAGTTGCAGCGAAGATGGTCCGATTGAAATTCCTCTCTTTACTCGTATATATACGCCATTATTGGACAGTATATATACGGGTTTCTGACGAAATTAAAACACAGTTGGACGTTTTGCATTATTTTCTTTGTTAGAGATTAGCTTTGGTAGGTTAATATTTATTTGTTGGGAATTTCAGTATACTCGTGACTTACAAATGTTATATTTTAACAAAATTCTATTAGTTTATACTTAGTTTTTTTTTGTGGCAGAAATAAACAATTATTGTTACACATGGAAATGAAACTATTTTTCCGGATTTAAATCGCGTATATTTGTTTTTTCAAACAAACGAACATTTCGGGCCCTTTACATGTCTCATGGTCACTTTGACTGACTTGGGACCTGTAAAGAGTCCAAACTAAATTATTACAATCCTTTTTTTAAAATTCACTTTACACTGATACAATTACAGATTAGATTTAGTAGCAGAAGAGCTCCTTGTGAAAGGATTCGCCCAGGGAAGTTACCCACCTTACCTATTTCTGCCACCAAGCAGTAATGTGAGCATTACTGCTTTCCGGTTTAGAAGGGTAAGGGTGCTGGTGAAATTGCACCGTTACCCTTGTAAACACAGGCACATGGGTTTTGTCGGCTTATGTCTTGGGTGACGGTCGCAGTGGCAGTGCCCAAAAGATCTTTGCGATTTAAAGCTCTGAATGGCACTGCAACCGTTATGGATAGGCGTGTCACTTACCACCAGGCGCACGACTTGATCGTCCCGTCACTTGGTATTATAAAAAAAGATACATGGAACTGTATTGTATAAACTAAAGTTTTTTCCAAATAATTCTAATTCAACACACTAAACGTTTAATCAATTTTATTTAGAGTAAAGAATGGTGTGTTGAGATGAATAAGTGGCGTGATCTTGCAGGGTGATTAAGTTAATCGTGGTATATAAATGTCCACAATTTTTTTTAAGATTTTTAAACTGGCAAACAGTCAGTCGGTCCAGAAGGCAAGTTGTTGTTGCCTGTTGATATTTGTCTTGCTACCAAGAATATTTAACATCGAAAATACGTATTCGGTTATCGAACAAAAGATCCTAAAAACAGACGAAATTTCGGCCATAATCTTGTCTGATGCTAAGCTATGACGAGGTCAACTAAGTTACGCGATTGTCTATTAATGCCTATTCACTTTAACCTTGAGAGCGATGCCACAAGGGCACTTCTGTTGCCGTTGCGTTACATCGTCGTCGTAAAGCTATGATTTCAACGCACTGAATGTCACACTAGCAATGCCGTATCGCAACGTAACGCCACTTACTACGCACTGCTGTCCCTCCCCGCTTCGTCCCCTAATCCCTTGTCTGACGCGCACGCGTTTCGTAGCCGCGCATCGTGTCAACGCACCATGTGGTATATAGTTCTAATTTATGATCGCAGCGTCACCGCTCAGGTGTCGCAACAAAGCCGACGCAATGCATGGTGTAACGTTGCTATTAATTGCAGCTTTCTATACCATTCCTTTGTATGCATCAAAAATGGAATCACTTCATGCGAATGTGTGATGATTGAGTGTTCGATACATTCAAGTGGCCCGAAGGGGGAACGGTAAGTTTGGACTTCGTGTGATGACGTTGGCTTTCCCTACTTTTAAATCCCAAACACAGAAATGGTGTTTTTGCGGTAATTATGAACCCAGGAACCCCTGGTGTACTCTACACTAACGGACAACCCTACATCTGCCACAAGGAATTTCTCAGACACACTATTGTGTTATCATTACTTGTCATCAATCACAAGTTCCTTTACGTGTAATATATATAATTAAAACGAAGATTGAAAACATGAGAATGGAAAGTGAAGGGAATACGTGTGTCATTAATTTATATTGTGTCCATTTTTTTTGTATTATTCCACGCATGGTTTTTTGAACCTAATAATCCCCCAACTCCGGTTACGTCCTAAAGCTAATTGATATCGGCAATAAGTGACCAGTATTTAACCACCGGACATTTGGGCTAATAGAATAGAGTGCAAACGTCGCCACCAGCCTGTTTACGATCACAATCGTAAACGCCTTGCTATAACCTTACTACCTATGGGATATTTATGACCTTACTTTTAGTGTAAACATATATATACCAATAAAATATTTGTGGTTAATAGTATAGTCAAGTGGGATAATAGGGACTATATATTTTATTTTTACTATGTACTTTATTTTGAGTCAAATATTTCGAACTCTTGGAAGAACAGAGAAGAGGAGAACTTGCATTTGTTTATCAGCTTTACATGTTTTAACAATCATTACTGAATCCGAGAAAATGCGAATATCGCTTGTAATCATCATCATTCAGCCATACGACGCCCACTGCTGGGCATAGGCCTCCCCCAACGATCTCCACGACGATTAAAGGACTGCCGGGGACTAGGGGCCAATTCTTTGGTGTGTGTATCATAGGGGGGGTTGTGCCATAATCGCCACGCTTGGCAGGCGGGTTGGCGATCGCAGTTCTGGTCAAGATGGGTAGAAGACGCTGCTGCCCGTCTTCTTCTGACAATTTTTTCCTTAGTCGCCTTGTAAACCTAGAGACAATTATCCTTGTAACATTTCGGGCCGTCATTTCTCGGATTCGGAACTGGGGGTCTACTCTTATTCTCCGTCCGACATCCGTCCGAATAAATAACTCTCAAATAAGTAATACTCGACTAAATTAAAAAACGTATATTGCGAGTGAAGCTTCATACTTGACGATGTCTTTTAATTTGGTCGAATATTGATACGATTCGGACGTAGCACGCAAATGCTCTAACGACGTATTTTCCGAAAGCGTACAAATTAAGCTTTTGTTACTCTTCTTCGAAAATATGAGGTAAGAAGAACAATCGTCGTATCTCTTATAGGCACCGCAAAAAACATGTGTCTTGTGTGGTTACAAGCAACCGGCAACTGGAAGGAATATTCTATTTTCATACAATTGATATGGAATCGACACATTCGCCGGTAGCGGCAATTGGACACAGTTGCCATGTCAATTTCTTTGTCTGCTTTATAGACTGAGAGAGTATAGTGTAAAGCTTTAAATTGTTCTTCTCCCGGTGTTCTCCTTACTCCACCTGACCCTGTATAATAATCTCGATCGATGAGCAGTGCTCGACTAGTTGGTAAAATGCTCGCCTTCATCATTCATCACCATTGTTTCTTTAAGAATCATAAAAATATGATTCTTGAATGACATTTTCAAAATATTTGTAGAACTGTTAACTTGCAGAACGGTCTTTATTTTACGGTTTGCATTGATTGGATGTGGAGATCCCGTTTGGATCCCGGTAGGACTAATTTGGAAAATGAACTTTCTCCAAAGTGAATTCTTTTTCCCTGGTACTCATAATGCTCATACTACTATACTTTTCTATAATTAAGATAAGTAAAACTCTAGAGGATCAGTAATTTTCCAAAGTGACTGTACAATCCAGAGCTAAGCCTACAAATGTGTAAGTAAAAACACCAATCCATCAAGTGAATAAGATAATCTATCATTTTGGAAGCATGTTTTTAGTTTTTACCACGAAGTAGCTTCGCTTTGCCAGTGTTCCCAATGGAATCTATGTATGCCATCTTACTGTTTTTGAAAGCTTTGAATAAACTTTTTTAGAAGAAAATGGTAACTTTATTTAGAGTTTTCAGGTTTCCAGCGAGAAGGATTCTGCCTATTTTTATCGTCTGTATGGAATAGAGTTCTACTATATCTAAGAAAATGCCACGTCTGGAATGGTAGTTTATCATTCTGGAAATGTCCATGCATAAATGAATATACTTGTAATGTTATTTGGAGTCCCTTGTTGTATTCCACCGTCTTTAAAATGAGGAGTGCTCAGAGAAACTTTTCGAACTGGTGGTATTACCGT